TATTTATCATAAATTTATGGTTATTGTATCAAATATCAGGATATTGTCCAGTTTATTATAGCATAATTTGTTAACGTTTATGTAAAATTCTTTGATGTTTGTTCTAAACCATACAAAATTAGTCAATGCTCGTCATAATAGATTTGAACAAAATCATGATTATCTTTGGCTAGAAACAAGAACTTCCTATCTATGACATCACGAGTACTGATATACCACGGTTCATCTAATTTGAGTATCGAGTGTTTAAATAGCAATTTATATTGAAATAAAAACATACGATATTGTAAAATGTGTAATGGTATAAAATCAGATAACCGACAACTTTTCTTATTTTTTATAATTATTTGATGAATTTCCGTTTGAAATAATTGCATATGTTTCGTAATCGGGATACCGTAGTTTAATTGATGGTGACCGAATCACGAACAACACATAGCTGTTCCAAAATGGTTGAACGATTCAATCAGTTTAAAAGATCTGTACGTTCAGAAAATGAAAAAAAAATTATAACCCGATTAACTGACATTTCAGCCACTTAATATATTACGTGTATATACGAAAACTGATGATTTATATAATGTTAAATAATAGCAAAATCGCTGAGCATAAAAAATAATCACTTCCACTTACCGAAGAAGTTATTCTAGACAATGCAAATGAACCTATAACACATATTAAACAGAATACAACGAAAAAAGAACCAAAGTGAGCTTTTTGCTGTAACGAATTAGATTGTTTTTCGTGGTTAAAAAGTAACATATAAAGTAGTAAACAAGTTATGTGAATGATGAGAAAGAATATAATTGCCGACAAATTGCTCCATTGTTGATTCACTTGCTGAAAGATTTCCCATAGATCTGTGTGTCTTTCTATAATGTCGTCTATATTACTCTTTAAGCGACGAGTGTGTCTGTCGATCGAATCTAACTCGATCTGTAAATTCTGAAATTGATCCAACAAGAACAAGAACATAATAAGAAGTAAGGTTAATATAACATTAATTTCTCCAGAACAGATTAAATGACAGTGAAAATGAAATGTGCTACAGCATATTGAAATTAAAGAAGAATTGCTCGAATTTTGAATTTTTGGATAATACTTTAAGTCTAAATTGAGACTCATTATAATGTTTGAAAAAAAGTGTAAGAAAAGAAAAAGTATTGATATACATTTAACTTTTTTAGGAAAGTTTTCATCATTTCCATACGCCATCTCATTGTCTTCCCACGTGAATTTGTTTCTCTTCAATATGCTAAATGTAATGGCATGAATTGATGACATCATTACTCGATATAATCTTTGGAAGTATTTGTTTGTATCGTGATTTTTTAGTATGGTTCCACATAACGCTTCGTCATCAAAGAACAAGACACAAGTATGACCTACCATTACCCACAAAAAAAATTCTATAAAGTTTACGTAATAAGCAAAGTTCTTTCTGTTCTTTCCATCGTGGCAGGCACATAGCAACAATGGTTCCAATCCAAATATTTTAGCCACCGAAATTATGGGTCTAAGTTGGTAATGAATGTTATTGGAAATATTCTTCTTGTGAGTGCAATCTGCAATCTCTACAGTTGTGTTTCTCTTGCTCATTTTACTCATCTATATAAATAAAAATTTTGTATGATCAGAACTAAAACGTAGTTTAAAATTTAGAAACTTGTATGCGGCAGTAAGCAGAAACGATGACACTGTAGTAAGAAGCAGCAAATTTACGTATCTATGCGAGCTTCTAGATGACCGCAACTATCGAACAATGCAATTACCTTAGTGTATTCGTGTTATACAATCGTGACAAAATTTATACCGTAGCTAATAAAATGCATCTGAGAAAATCTTCTTGCGCATATATTTGCTGAACAAACTAGTTTAGAAATTTTATACTGTTTCTCGTATAAGTTAAGTCGTTAATATTAAAATCTGTAATTTGTGGAGACATTTTTGAAACGTTCGTGGTTGTATTCCAAGAAGAGATAATTAGTTATTAATCATTATTTTGAGAAAGACTGTGTGTAATGATTTAAATTTTTTCTATTAAAATAGATGATCCTTCGCGTTTTATAGGTTAAATAAGAATTTTTATTTAATTTATTCATTAAATGCATCAATAAATTGATCTTAATGTATGCTGTAGTATAATTTTCAGAATTAATTTATCTGCAATTTTTTAAATAATTTTCTCATTAATAGAAAATGTAAATTATCCATGCGAACGTAAGTTTCTGTTTATTTTTCGTAATTATTCAAAATTCTAGCGCAGTTGCGGCAAAATAACAAAGACAAATATTTGTCTCTTGTTTTGGCTAAGAGACATTTCGCCATATCTTTGTGATTTGGATTATTACGGTTTATTTTATGAGTTTATTATTTTTTAAGAATTATTAACGTCTTAGTTTTGTATTATTTTCTTTCTATTTTTGATGCATTTCGACATAAAAACGTTTAACCTAATGCTTTCTTATTTATTCTTAATCATAGTTTTCTTGATGGAGAGAAATTCAAATCTTTGTTTTTATTCCTCGCGAAAACAAAATGTATCCTGTATTTAAATGTTTAAAACAAATAATGAAATTATTGGATTTCTAGCTTAGTACACCAGGCGTTGAACGGGTTTATAAAAGTACCCGTCTTAGTAATTGCTATAACTGGCGTTATTAATCGTAAATTTCAAGAATGTATGTGATAAAACTCATTTTAAGAACATTATCGAAGTATCTCTGCTTTATATTTATTTATTAAGGTTTTTGATTAACTCGAAAGCTTAGCGTAATTATTATTTACCTCCCTGTCCATTAGAACACTTTAAAATCAACAATAGGAAATAAATTTTATATTTAATAAGGGAAACTTGTTTTAAACTTTTTTTATTTAACAGACACGACTCATTACTTGTAAACCAAATAAAACGTACTGAGTAGAACTGTATGTTTATTTTATACGTAAATTTACGTCTTTATTTATTAGAAGAATGATTAAAAGTGCTTTCTACAGAAATCACGACTTATCAAAACCGAACTTTTAACGTTAATTAGCTTCAGTAGGATTTCCGGCAAAACACATTTACACGTCATAAGAGATTTTTTGATGTTAAATCTCCTGATAAAGCTGAAATTTTTCATTCTTGACAATTTCCAATGCCGCAAAACTTAGCTTATCTTGCCAAAAACTTAGATATTGCAAAAATTTTAAAAAATAATAAAAATTCAGCAACGAGTTGCATACTTTTCCCGGCTGTTATGAGATTATTTTTAAAAAAATAACTTTTATATTTTCAATTTTAATGAATAAAATTGTTTGTGATGCAATCTGTTATGAGATTTTATCACGAAAACTTTTTAAATTATTATAAAATGGAAATTTTGAGAGTAGAGATTTTATATTTAAGTTTTATATTAAAAAGAGATGAGTTATATTAAGAGATGAATTTTATATTAAAAAAACCATTGTAAATGCTAATAACGAGTTAAATCTTCATTAAGTTCTGTGGAGATATGAAAAGTGACCCCTCTGTCTCCCCACCCTTTCGACCTTTAACCACCAAAATTTAATAATAATCATTCCCTTATATATAAGCTATTACCATGCTGAATTTCGTTTCTTAATCATTACCCCATCCTAAAATATGAAACAAAATAGACGCTAATACACTCGTGCACGCGAGATTTAGAAAAAAACTCGGAGATAAAATTTTTCAATTATTTTTTCTAATTATTAAATATAAACTTGGGCACAGATAAAGACTTCGAGCTTTGTGTCTTAAAATCATTGCACGTACATTAATTTGGCTGAACGGTAGAACATCTTAAGCAGTATTGGTGAAGGAAGTTCGGGGCAATATGTTTATGAATTATTAAGGGGAGATAAAATCAGGGGTGGGACGGGGTGTCCAGTTTCGTGGTAGTTAAGTGTGTCCACGTGAATATCGCGTTTATAGAACAATTACTAGAATTGATTTAGTTTATTTGGTTATGGCAACCCGACAGTTGAGCGATCTACCAAAGAGGATGCATCTCGGAAAGACTCGTATAAAGCTGCCATTATTTAAGTGTTACCAACGCGAAGAAAATTTGGAAGACTGCACGTGGTCAGTCCGTTGGCGTCGCCCTATCCCGAGACCGAATATCGGTGTTTGGAAGTTTTATCCATTAGATTACTGCAGGGTACTTATTGTGTTAAACTCTTTTCGCCCTGTGGGCACTAAGACGGCCTGTTTTAGCAGGCCCATTATGGGTTCGGGTAGGCCCGCAATGGGGCGAGTAGTGAGGGACGGGGCCCGACATATCCGGACAGACCACCCCCGAAAAATTCCTGGGGATTTTTCGACCCGTCCGGATTCGATTCCAGGTACCCCAGAGCGGTGGGCTGCCACCTTGATCGCTCGGACATCTGGCCTGAACTGTCGTCCATCTGTTGTCTATCCATAATCTCGAGAACGGAGTTAAACACATGACAGTCGAGACCAGATATGGAAATCTTAGTGACAGGAGGCCGCAATTAACTGTATCCTAACTTCCAATTTGTACCGCAAATCATGTTATTTCAATTCAAAAATTTTGCCCCGAACGAAGTTAGATACATAATCGGCACGACTCTATTGCTAACGGGAAAGGTATGATGTACTGTACAGTACGTAGGGGCAAAACGCTACTCCACTCCACGCAGGAAAGTGCTATGTGCTACCTGTCACAGTAATGGCGTAATGGCGCATCTTTATCATTATCGCAGTAATTAAGTGAATATAACATAGGCTATATACTTTTGAAATTATATCATTTTTTGTAAGAATTATATTTACTTTATTAGGATATTTTAACACATTTATGTGGAAAATAAATAAATTCGGGCATACTTTATAGATGGATTCTACACAAACATATTTTAGATGAAAAAAATAATAATATAATTTTGTTATTTACAAATTAGTTATAAAATATATAGGCCTGCATTTCTAAATATCAATTTATTTATGTGTTAAACCACTAAAAAATATTTTGATCGTTAATTGTTTACGAATATCCATAAACTTTGTCAATTTCTTATTCATATTACTTCTACACTTGATCTGTAGTGATAGGAAATAGACGGAACTTCGTTCTACGACAAAACAGTAACATAATTGCGTGTTTCTACATAATTGTCGTATGTCAGTCAAAACAAAGAAGTGTTCGAGTTCATAGAGGATTGAATTCTAATTTTGCATTTTGTGCCTTTAGTCAGGTCTCTGATTTGCAATAGAGTGGAAAAGGCAGAATAAAGAGTTTCTACTACCTGAAAGCAAAGAAGAATATTAAATTATTGTTTAATGGATTAAAATACTAATATTAATATTAATGAGTAAGAAAAGTAAATATGCTGACTTTTATAGGAAAGTCTTGTTTAATAAAGAAGAATCCTCCGATGGAAACTCCAAGAGGTAATTTCCCAAATCTTTTCATAAAGTTGAGAATCTGAAAAAAAAATATTTTTAGAAAAACAAGAACTACAAATAAATAAATTAATAAATAAATAAAAATGGAGTTACCTTCAGTTTGTTCAGTAAAGTTAAATTCACGGATGACAATCTTTCGACTGATATGAAATTGTCGTACATCTAATTAAATAGACATTAAAGTTACTTTTTTTAAAAATAAAATGAATAATCTTCAATAAATTTAAAAAAACGGCTGAATTATTGTTAAAAGAATGTTAAAAAATATCACTTATTTTGACACGCAGTTGTTTATATTGCAGATTACAAAAGAACGACAAAAGTGGATAAATGTAAGAGTCGTTCATGCGAAAATGAAAATAGGGTTATAAAGTAATCATAATGTGTTTGTTCAAAAGAGGCTCCGTGAACATTGAGACATTTAACAAGCCCATGAATACCGTCCTGGAAAAACTGGGTTGGCTGCTGAAAACCCTTGTGTTCATTACCTCTTGAACCTCATCGTCCGACGCCAATGGCCGACCTTAGATTTGCTTTTTAAAATGTCCAAAAATGTAAAAATTGCAGAGGCTAAGATCGGATCTATACGTGTAATGTCTTAACATTTCCCATCCGAAACGGTGCAACTTGTCTGTGGAGATCGGTTGGTATGCGCAATGCACGACCGCAAAGCGCCCGCTTCTCCACAAACATATTGCACCGTTTTAGATGGAAAGATTTAAGGCATCCTACATGTAGTCTTTATCTTAGCCCTGTGACTTCTGCAATTTTTGGACCCCTTAATAAATATCTCGAGGTACGTCCATTCGCGTCAGACGATAAGGTTCAAGTTCCAGTGAGAACCTGGTCCTGCAGCAGACTTGTTCGAGGAATGTATTCGTAGGCTTCTTAAATGTCGGTATAATGATCATGGGCACTTCTTTTGAATAAACACATTTATTATTGTTTTATAACCCGATTCTCTCTTTCATTTGAACGTTAATAACAACAATATTAAATTGACTCGTAATTAATTATTGCGATATTTATATTTATAATTTATCATTGAAATAACATAGTGCAGGCAAAAGACATTTCTGATTTCACTTTATTTCTGAGAGACACCGAGAGAACAGACTTGAATTTTGACATTCAAAGTGAAATTTTAGTTTTTATTTACGTAACCCTCTTTTAATATCGTGTAATTTGATAGTTTACGACTCTAACTGATAATTAGAGTATCAGCTTGGAATATATTTTAACATGAATTTCTTCAAACCATAGAGAAGTTCCTTAACTGGAATCTGCCGAGAGGAAGAAAACTTTATATAATCGTCACTGAGAATTTACTAAAAATTAAAATATATTTGTGAATTGATAACAAAATTTTATAACTTTTAAGTAAAAATTCAAATATAATTTAATTCAATTAAATCTTTGAAAACATTTTGTATATTTTTAAAATTAACCTTGATTTTGACATATGATTTCACGTGTTAGACAATTTCTTCTCTGACTACGACGATTTTGAAAATGATGCTTTGAAGATTATTTTCATCTACAAAACTTAATAAACTTAAGTTTCTAATACTGACATAAAATGGTAAAGCAAACAGCTTTACCATTTTATGGTAAATCCTAATCCGTATCAGTTATAGGGAATTTCCTGATGAAAAAATGCTGTAATATTTAAACAGTTTGTTAGAAACAAGTACAAACTCAACAATTTGATAAAGAGATTTTTGGGGCACGCTATACCCATATTCAAAATATTTAAGGAACTAAAACAAGTATTTGGTTTTCCATTCATTGCTCTGAACCCCCCTGGAAAAGGGTAGAGACAGTATGGAATGATTCCGGATTTAAACCCTCTAAAGTTTTCAATATAAATAGCAACTAGAGATTATGTGTCTCCAATGAAGAATTGCAAATTCTCCAGGAGTGCTTCAGAGACGCAATAATACGGATTTTAGTGATGGGGTTAAACACCGAAATCCTTGACCTATTTTATCAACTCCCACAGAATTTGTTTATCTGATAAACAATATTATAAAATATGTATGCACAAGTCTGTAATCTGTACTCCAGCTTTATTCAAAATAATGTATGTTTGCCAATTTATTACTAGTGTTGTTGTTATTTAATATCTCTGCAAAAGAAATCTTATAATAAATTAAATACTTTTAAGAATCGATTTACATTACTAATATACCGTAAATTGAGGGATTAAGTAAAACATGTAATTTCTTACTTATACACTTACCGAAGAAGTTAATTTCGAAACAGCAAATGAACCAAATACGCAAATAATCGCAAAAACAGCAAAACAGAATGCGAATATAAATCTTCTGTGGGGTGAATTTAATCGTTTCAAGTCGTCATTTGTCTCGCTGAACACAAAGAGATACAGATACAAACAAGTTAAATGAGTCAAGAGAAAGTACACAATGGCGAATAAATCGCTCCACAGTCGGTTGAATTGTTGAAAAATTTCCCATAATTCGGTGTGTTCTTTTACGATGGTGACTATTTTGCGCTTTAGATTTGGAGAGTTTTTCGTCATCGAATCCAATTGTTCTTGCAAATATCGAAAACATGCGAAAATTCTCAAGAATAACGCTGCTAAAATGCACAAGAGAAAGTTTCCTGCACCGAAACTGTATATGTGCCATATGAAATGAAATAATACACACATAGAAGTGATAGTAAATGATTCCTTTTTCTCTACAAATATTGGGTAATATTTCAATTCTAAAACGAATCTTGCGGCTACAGTTACAGAAAAGAAGAGAGTGAGAGAAATTACAAATATTTTTTCTGTTTTCAAGAAAATCTTTTCTTCATCGCGATAATAAAAATGACGTTTCATTAATTTGAGTTTGTTTCTTTTGCAAAATGAGAAAAGGACAGCGAAGAAAATTGCGAGGGTCATTCTTAAGGCCGACTGAAAATTATAAGTTCGTTCCCGGCTCTGGAAGCATAGTTCCACAGAAAGCGTTTTCATTAAATGTGATAACCGAGCCATGAATTACCATGAGCCATAACAGAAGCTCTATTCCATTAGAGTATACAGAAAACCAAACGTTGCTGTCGAGTTGGTGACAATTGTAGGGTATTAAAGGTTCCAAACCAAACGCCCTCCCGACGTAAATTACAGGATTCAGTGAGCAAAGTGTATTGATTAAAAAGTCATTTTTCTCGTCGAAAAGTGTTACAGATGTTTCTTTATCCATTGTAATCTATTATAGTCGTATTTGAAAAAAATAACTGTAATTGTATGCTAGTTGCATATAGTTTGTTTCACTTCTCAGATAAATTTAAGCAGCAGTAAAAAGAGAAAACAAATTATAATTGTAATCAGAAACTTTATCCAACGTTTTCCACCAGACTTGTCCATGTTAGTAATAGCAATTTGTTTATAACACGGCAGATTGAATGCATTCATTTATCATTATCTGGCCTGTTTAATTTTCAGAAAATTGCGTGTGTGCACGCTTACTCACGAGGATAAAATTGTTAAAAAAATTTCAGTAACGCTTGCAATAAATATTAATTAATAAATGAAAACATTTAATTAGTAATTTCATATTGTTTAACGTAAATAAATCCAAGACAGATTAAATCTTGTTTTGATATATTATTATGTACACTTCATAATTATGTGTATATAATTTCTTGATACCGTGTAACGATGTTCTTATATAAAACACAATAAATTTCCCATTTATATTTCCATATAAAACTAATTTTATCTCGTACAGAATTTAACATATTAATTTTAAAAGTTACACACTTTAATGAATATCTTCTTTATATATATTTATAATGAAGTTGTGAATAATAATCTGGTACCTCGTGTATATTGTATGTGCAGTAGGCCTATATATTACCTACATATATATGCATACGTATGCATTAGGATTTCTCGTTTCCCGATCTTTTGCATGTCCCGAGATTCCGGGAAAAAAGGGAACTGTTTCCCGGATCTCGGAATATAATTAATTATTTTTAAGATATAAAATAAATCTTAAATAATTAATTATTTTTCATTTTTAAGTAACTTAATACGTCCTGCAACCTCCAAAATAATAATAATAATAACGCTGTGTAAAATATGTATTAAAAATTACATTTGAAATACGTAGAAATTTTCACAAATAGGAAAAATTTATTAAAGTTTGCTGGAAACTGCATATAACAAAAATATGCTTTGAATTGAGTTGAAAATTTATAGAAAAAAATGAACTTACATCAAATTTCTAACTTAGAAGGTATTTTCGTTTTTTAAATAAAACATAATACAAAATATTATTGTAAATTTTTATATTAAGATTTTAAAAAGCAAAGATGGTCGCTACTCCGATCACTCGATCTAGTTCTTATTTTAGTAATGAAAAGTCCTGCTACCAAAAATACCCTTTTCGATTCAATTGATGTGGGTTGTCTTTAATGCATTTAAGAGAAGACGGATGTTATGTGTTTTATCACCTGTAGCCTGTAAGATTTCTAGTTCAAATCAAGAATACTAGACAGCAAAAAAAGTACTGTAACAATACTTTTTTCGCCTTCTAGTATTCTTAATTTGTCTACCTCGGCTGCTTTAATAGCGGCATCGAGCTTACAGTTCGATAATTCGGCAGTTCGTTTGGCTTTAAGAATCGGGTTCGTGAAGAAAAACTTCATGTTGCATACTTCGTACTCGTTTGTATCCTTGTCCAATTTGCACATTTGGCATAATGCAGTTATTGACGCTACCGGGCATGGTTAAAAATTAAGACAGGGTAAGCGCAATTATTGCAGATATTACGGGTTCTGACAAAGAATTTTCAGACCCTCTCACAAATAAGCTACATATTGATTATTGATCATTTGTGACGTGTCATAATAAGCAAAAATTTTTAAAAAACTAACAAGCGGGCTTAAAATTAATAAATACAAATGTATACTGGCAGTTTATGAGTTAAATTAATTATACTTTCTATTTGTAAAATTTCCTCAACTTTAACACAAAGTAAGAAAAAAGTAAATTTTAAAGAAATTTGCGAGATTTTCCGGGATGAGAAGAATTTCCGGGTTAAAAAACAGTCGGGATCCCGTTGGAGAAACCCTAGTATGCCCATAGTGGGGAAACAAAGGCGATACATTTGAGCTACGTATTCCCGGAAGTTCCTTGTTGAGAATCCAGATTTCGGGGGGATGCAGAAGCAAATTGTTGACTTTTAAGTTTTGAAGAATCACCGAATTTCAGTTTAGCGCCGTTAACACGATGATCATAATAGGGTCTACATTAAAATATGTAAAAAGATAGATATTAATAAAAATTATATATAATAAATATATATAATAATATATAATAAAACTTTTGGACACTCCAAAAGTTGCTTATNTAGAGATTTTATATTTAAGTTTTATATTAAAAAGAGATGAGTTATATTAAGAGATGAATTTTATATTAAAAAAACCATTGTAAATGCTAATAACGAGTTAAATCTTCATTAAGTTCTGTGGAGATATGAAAAGTGACCCCTCTGTCTCCCCACCCTTTCGACCTTTAACCACCAAAATTTAATAATAATCATTCCCTTATATATAAGCTATTACCATGCTGAATTTCGTTTCTTAATCATTACCCCATCCTAAAATATGAAACAAAATAGACGCTAATACACTCGTGCACGCGAGATTTGCAAAAAAAACTCAAAGGGTATAATTTTTCAATTATTTTTTCTAATTATTAAATATAAACTTGGGCACAGATAAAGACTTCGAGCTTTGTGTCTTAAAATCATTGCACGTACATTAATTTGGCTGAACGGTAGAACATCTTAAGCAGTATTGGTGAAGGAAGTTCGGGGCAATATGTTTATGAATTATTAAGGGGAGATAAAATCAGGGGTGGGACGGGGTGTCCAGTTTCGTGGTAGTTAAGTGTGTCCACGTGAATATCGCGTTTATAGAACAATTACTAGAATTGATTTAGTTTATTTGGTTATGGCAACCCGACAGTTGAGCGATCTACCAAAGAGGATGCATCTCGGAAAGACTCGTATAAAGCTGCCATTATTTAAGTGTTACCAACGCGAAGAAAATTTGGAAGACTGCACGTGGTCAGTCCGTTGGCGTCGCCCTATCCCGAGACCGAATATCGGTGTTTGGAAGTTTTATCCATTAGATTACTGCAGGGTACTTATTGTGTTAAACTCTTTTCGCCCTGTGGGCACTAAGACGGCCTGTTTTAGCAGGCCCATTATGGGTTCGGGTAGGCCCGCAATGGGGCGAGTAGTGAGGGACGGGGCCCGACATATCCGGACAGACCACCCCCGAAAAATTCCTGGGGATTTTTCGACCCGTCCGGATTCGATTCCAGGTACCCCAGAGCGGTGGGCTGCCACCTTGATCGCTCGGACATCTGGCCTGAACTGTCGTCCATCTGTTGTCTATCCATAATCTCGAGAACGGAGTTAAACACATGACAGTCGAGACCAGATATGGAAATCTTAGTGACAGGAGGCCGCAATTAACTGTATCCTAACTTCCAATTTGTACCGCAAATCATGTTATTTCAATTCAAAAATTTTGCCCCGAACGAAGTTAGATACATAATCGGCACGACTCTATTGCTAACGGGAAAGGTATGATGTACTGTACAGTACGTAGGGGCAAAACGCTACTCCACTCCACGCAGGAAAGTGCTATGTGCTACCTGTCACAGTAATGGCGTAATGGCGCATCTTTATCATTATCGCAGTAATTAAGTGAATATAACATAGGCTATATACTTTTGAAATTATATCATTTTTTGTAAGAATTATATTTACTTTATTAGGATATTTTAACACATTTATGTGGAAAATAAATAAATTCGGGCATACTTTATAGATGGATTCTACACAAACATATTTTAGATGAAAAAAATAATAATATAATTTTGTTATTTACAAATTAGTTATAAAATATATAGGCCTGCATTTCTAAATATCAATTTATTTATGTGTTAAACCACTAAAAAATATTTTGATCGTTAATTGTTTACGAATATCCATAAACTTTGTCAATTTCTTATTCATATTACTTCTACACTTGATCTGTAGTGATAGGAAATAGACGGAACTTCGTTCTACGACAAAACAGTAACATAATTGCGTGTTTCTACATAATTGTCGTATGTCAGTCAAAACAAAGAAGTGTTCGAGTTCATAGAGGATTGAATTCTAATTTTGCATTTTGTGCCTTTAGTCAGGTCTCTGATTTGCAATAGAGTGGAAAAGGCAGAATAAAGAGTTTCTACTACCTGAAAGCAAAGAAGAATATTAAATTATTGTTTAATGGATTAAAATACTAATATTAATATTAATGAGTAAGAAAACTAAATATGCTGACTTTTATAGGAAAGTCTTGTTTAATAAAGAAGAATCCTCCGATGGAAACTCCAAGAGGTAATTTCCCAAATCTTTTCATATAGTTGAGAATCTGGAAAAAAATTTCTTTTTAGAAAAACAAGAACTACAAATAAATAAATAAATAAATAAATAAAAATGGAGTTACCTTCAGTTTGTTCAGTAA